TTCAGCAGCTAGGGGCAATGACAGATGCACTAAAGGGAGCCGAGCAACCTTTTGAGGGCTTAAGGCTTAGGGTTTAGGGTTTGGGGTTTACGGTTTAGGGTTTAGGGTTTGGGACTGTTCGGTTGGGCTTCAGGCTGTTTTTGCCACGGGGGCTCCGCCGTTTTTCCGCGCAACCGAATACCACCAGCCGCCCTGTGCCCGAGCGATCTTTCCCTGTGAGGGACGATGGCCCACGACTCGTTTTCTCCAGAGGTTTAGGGTTTAGGGTTTAGGGTTTTGGGGTTTAGGGTTTAGGGCTTAGGGCTTAGGGCTTAGGGTTTAGGGCTTAGGGCTTAGGGCTTAGGGTTTTGGGTTTAGGGTGAGGGTCTCGGGGGGCTTGAGAGGGAATTCAGTCCAGGTTCTAGGGGGTGTAAGGTTTTGTGGTTCAAGGTATAGCATCAGAGGCTCCCCAGCAAGAAGGCAGGAAGGCAACCCTAAACCCTCAAGTTTTAGACCCTTAACCCTAGCCCCAAACCCCAGTCCTAAACCAAAAACCCTCTGCCCTAAACTCTCTTTGCATCTGTAAACCCGTTTGGCCTTGGGGATTCGAGCTCCAAGCTCTCAGCCTCAAGAGTTGCGGATCTGGGGGGGGGAGGGGGGGAGGGGGGTTGGAGGGGAGGGGGGCAGGGGGGCAGGGGGGGAGGGGGGGAGGGGGGGAGGGTTTGGGGTGATTTTGGGGACTCCCTTCATGAGCTGCCTTTGTGTTCCTGGGTCAACAGGATAGCGTTCCAAGCTGTCGTCTCCTTCTAAGTCTAAGAGAACCCAAAGAGAAGTACATGCTCCCCAAACCATAAACTGAGGAGTACCTGAACCCCTAAACCCCCCAAAGGCCCTCAAGTTAAAGGCCACGGGTCACATCCCTTAGAACCCTATCGCAGCACGAAAAGCTCGGAGATGGTCGGCTACATGCCCTTGCTGAGTTCGAAGCCCGAAAACCCGAAACCCTCAAGGCCTAATCCGTGAAGATTGTGTTTGGAGACTGTGCCTGCGCGCTTCCCAGGGCGTTTTAAGATGTCCAACAAAACAGTGGGGAGCGCACGGCAGCAGTCAATAAAACAAACCTTAAACCCTAAAGCCTAAACCCTAAACCCTAAACCCCGTGATGATCAAGACAATCCTACACGCCCTGTAGTACTTTGCAAGGTTGCGGGAGAACTCTGCACCCTGGACCCGAAGCCCCACACCCTAACATCTCTGCGCGGAACCTGAGAGACTCTAAACCCTAAACCCTGCACCCTACACCCTAACCCTAAACCCTAAACCCTAAGCCCTAAGCCCTAAGCCCTAAACCCTAAACCCTAAACGCAAAGGTTCAAGTGAGCATCGGCTTCCACAGCGCGCTTGAGTTGCCCGAGAAGGCCGTTGGGGTTTAGGGTTTGGGGTTTAGGGTTTAGGGTTTAGGGTGTTCGGGGCTTTAGGTGTTCACTTCAGTTCTGGGTTTGTCGTTGTCTATTTGCTTATTGTTTTGTCTTTCAAAGCGAGTTCGGCGGCGGTCTGTCAAAAAAGTTTCTGGGTGCAAACAGCCCTAAACCCTAAAACCCTAAACCCTGAACCCTTGCGCCATGCGCCACGTCTTCCTTGCCCCGAAGCCCCTAGGCCCCCTAAACCCCTAAGCCCCTAAACCCTAAACCCCTAGGCCTAAACCCTAAACCCCTAAGTAACCCTAAACCCTAAACCCTAAACCCTAAACCCTAAACCCTAAACCCTAAACCCTAAACCCTAAACCCCTAAACCCCTCCTCTCGCTGCTTCAGGCCAAAACCTTCTGTGGCCAGGCTGTTAACCTGGAGTCCGCCCCTCAGAAACCGGACGTCGGGTTTAGGGTTTAGGGTTTAGGGTTTAGGGTTTAGGGTTTAGGGTTTAGGGTCCAGGGTTTAGGGTGGTTTAGGGTTTGGGGCTACTGGCCTTGTCAGCAGTTCTCTGGCCCTCAATTTCCGTGCCGTCTAAGAATCAATCAGCTGTAGCCTCCAGCCGGTCCTCTTTCTCCAGGCGCTCTTTCAAGCCCAGACCAGAAACACTAAACCCTAAACCCTAAATCTGTTACCCTTAACCCTAAATCCACCCCAAACCCCAAACCCCAAACCCCCTCTGAGCCCTCAAAACCCTCTGAGCCTTCAAAACCCTCTGAGCCTTCAAAACCCTAAACCCTAAACCCTAAACCCCAAACCCTAAACCCTAAACCCCAAACCCTAAACCTAAACCCTAAACCCTAAACCTTAAACCCTAAACCCTGCCTCAAGCTTTAGGCCCTAAACCCCCAGCCTCTTAGGCCGGGCTGGAGCGTGCGGGATCTGTCCAACGCCATCGCCAGCCTCGCGGCAGCGCCGGCTGCCCCAGAGGGTTTGGGGTTGTTTAGGGTTTAGGGTTTAGGGTTTAGGGTTTAGGATTTAGGGTTTAGGGTTTAGGGTTTAGGGCTAGTGTTTAGGGTTTGGGGTTTGGAGGGTTGTTCAGGGTTTAGGGTGCGGTTGTAGGGGTTGCTTAGGTGCTGAGTAGGTAGCCTTTAACCTTTTGCATAGAGTCATAGGGTTATAGGGCAAAGGGCTATGGGGCCATAGGGTTGTAGGGTTGTAGGGGTATAGGGTTATGGGGTTATAGAGTGGTCGAGTTACTGGGTACGGGGTGTTAGGGTTAGGGTTTATGGTTTAGGCTTTGCAGTGGGAGCCCTACTTGAACGCTAATGGGTAGGTGCAAGCGAAGCGGGCTTGAGGGTTTCGGGTTTAGGGTTTTTTTAGGGTTTATAGCACGAGTGAATGTACTTATGATCCCACTTCACACTGCCCATGAATGTTCCGGTGTAAGCCCTCAAACCCTGCACCCTAAACCCTAGACCCTACACCCCAAACCACGCCCACAAACCGCATACCCACCAAAGGTCTAGTTAAGGGTTTTAGGGTTCAGGATTTCTGGTTACCTAAGAACGTACAAGCCCTACAAACCCCAGGCCCGAACCCCTAAACCCTAAACCCTAAACCCTAAACCCTAAACCCTAAACCCTAAACCCTAAACCCTAAACCCTAAACCCTAAACCCTAAACAAGCCCCCATCCTCAGACCCGGTACACCAAAAACCCTAAACCCTAAATGTACCCAAGCCTTTGAAGTCTCAACCCCGAAGCCCAAACTATGCCCCAAGCCCTCAACCCTAAACCCTAGGGTTTTGGGTTTTGGGTTTACGGTTTAGGGTTTAGAGTTACCCTAGGGTTTTGGGTTTTGGGTTTAGGGTTTAGGGTTTAGAGTTTAGGCCTTTAAGGGGCCAAGAGCATGAAGCCCCAAGATCCCTCGCGAGCCTACAGAGTTAGTTGGGGGCTGAGGGTTTAGGATTTGGGGTTCAGGGGTTAGGGTTGAGGGTTCAGGGATTTGGGGTTTAGTGTTTAGGGTTTAGGGACGAGAGTTTGGGATTTTGGGTTTGTAGGGTATAGGGCTGAGAGTTCAGGACTTGGGGTTCAGGGTTTGGGGTTTGCAGGGTTTAAAGGGTTGGCCTGGGATGGCAGTACCTCCCAAATCAGGGTTTAGGGTTTAGTTAGGGTTTAGGGTTTAGGGTTTAGGGTTTAGGTTTTAGGGTTTAGGGTTTAGGGTCCCTGCATCCCCTTCACGAAAGAATCCTCGAACCCGAGCCAGGCACGGTTTTGGTTTGCGTGTGGGCGCCCTGGTCAATCCCGCTCGTGCGCGCGCGGCGCCTCCCCACGAGGAGGCCCCAAAAAATTTCGGCAGGTGCGGGTGTGAGGGTTTAGGGTTTAGAGTTCGGGTTTAGGGCTTAGGGCTTGAGGCTTAGGGTTTAGGCTTTAGGCTTTAGGGTTTAGGGTTTAGGGTTTAGGGTTTAGAGTTTAGGGTTTAGGGTCCCTGCAGCTCCTGACTGCCGAATGGCTGCGGGCTCAGTCTCAGCATGTCCTCATCCCGAACCCTACGAAGGCTCCAAAGTAGCTGCGACTGTCAGACTTTAGACCCCGATGTAGGGAATACTTGTTTACCTGGAGCAAACCCTAAACCCTAAACCCTAAACCCCAAACCCTAAACCCTAAACCCTAAATCCTAAACCCTAAACCCTAAACCCTAAACCCTAAACCCTAAACCCTAAACCCTAAACCCCCCAAACCCCAGGGCAAGGGTAAAGGCCCCGAAGTGGCCCCAAACATTGCCTCAAGCCTCTGACATGGAGCTCCAGACTGCCGACCATGTCCGTGAAGAGGAGGTGCCTCAGTAGCACCCTCTTACTCCCTTTCTGTCTTGTGGGTTTAGGGTTTAGGGTTTAGGGTTTAGGGTTTAGGGTTTAGGTTTAGGGTTTAGGGTTTAGGGTTTAGGGTTTAGGGTTTATGGTTTAGGGTTTAGGGTTATTGAAATTGAATAGTAAGAAAACAGGGCGTTTGGAGGTTCAGGGTACTTATAACCCCAAGTACAACTGTACTTGTAAGCCCCCGAAGTCCGCTAAGTCCTCTCAGTAGATTAGGAGTGGACGTATAATCGGGGCTATAAGTACCCAGGAACCTATTTTTACTGTTCAATGTGCAGAACTAACCCTAAACCCTAAACCCTAAACCCTAAACCCTAAACCCTAAACCCTAAACCCTAAACCCTAAACCCTAAACCCTAAACCCTAAACCCTATCGAGCCTAGGAAGAGGTGCCTCAGGAGGCGGCTTCGGAGCAGGCTCCGAAGAGAGGCCGTGAGGCTGGTTCGGGGGTGTGCAGAGGGGTTTAGGGTTTAGGGTTTAGGGTTTAGGGTTCAGGGTTCAGGGTTTAGGGGCCAAACACGAAACATTCTTATTTATAAGGGTAATATGGAGACTATTATGGTCTTATATGTTTTGAGGGTTCTTTTGTGACCTTAGTTTTTCTGAGGGTTCTCATATGGGTAATAAGGAGACTATTCTGATCTTACATTGTTTGAGGACTCTTAAGCAAATAGTCGCAACGAGGCGAGCCCCGCATTCATGGACGCTGGCTTGGAGGAGCGGCTTGTCCGCGCAATGTCTGAGATGAAGCCCACGAGACCCGAGATGGTCCGTTCCGTTCGCGTCTAGGTTGGCTTCGGCACACGTTTCGCGTTTTGGTTTTGTATGTTCCCTATTTGTCTCTTACAAGTGACCCTAAACCCTAAACCCTAAACCCCAAACCCTAAACCCTAAACCCTACTAAACCCTACAAAACCCTAAAAAACCCTAAACCCTAAACCCTATAAAAAGTTGTTCAAAGGGTTTAGACAGGGCCAACCCAGGTGTGTTCCAGGCGCTGCGCAATTTCGGCGCCGCCTTCCGGGGAGTAGAGGCCGATTTCTACTCCATGAGCCACTTAGCCAACAGGTGAACTTTATAGGGTTTAGGGTTTAGGGTTTAGAGTCACCCTAAACCCTAAACCCTAAACCCTAAACCCTAAAACCTAAACCCTAAGTAAGGCAAGCCCACCAAGAAGATGCAGTTTTGGTCTCACAGCTGGCACGGGTCGATGACGGCGAAGGTCCGAGTTTAGGGTTTAGGGTTTAGGGTTTAGGGTTTAGGGTTTAGGGTTTAGGGTTTAGGGTTTAGCGTTTAGGGTGAAGGTGCTGACCCTCTACCTCACTCAGAATGCCTTCCCGGCCGCATTCCTCAGCACCATACTGGCCTTCTGTGTGACCATGTTCCTCGGTGTGCCCCTTGGGACATGTTTTTTTTAATACTTCCCCCTTACCGGGTTTGAGAGGATCATATTCAGGAGCCCTCAACGCTAAACGCTAAACCCTGGACCCTAAACCCTGAACCCTAAATCCAAACCCTAAACCCTAAACCCTAAACCCAAAACGCAGAAACCTACGATATTTGTTCACAGGGTTTTTTTCTGTGGCCATCCATAGGTTCTTCGCTCTGTCACGAATACCAAGCCTGGACCACGTGGTAAGTACCTTCTCCGAGGCTTTGTCATCTTTGGGCAACATGTTTTCCCTTTTAAGGGTATCCCTAAACCCGAAACCCTAAACCCTAAACCCTAAACACCCTGATCCAGGAGAGGGCGGTGCCCTGCTGCCTTCCGCTGGCTTTCGCGTCCTACGGGCTGGTGCTTCTTAGTAGCTGCATGAGTACACTTTACACTTTTTTGGGGGGGGTTTCTAGGGTTTAGTTTGTAGGGTTTAGGGTTTAGGGTTTAGGGATAGTCCCCTGTAGAACTGAAAATGTACAATTTTTTTTTTTTTTGGGGGGGGGGGGGGGGGGCGGCTTCTCAACTCAGCAACTCAGGCTCCTTTTCTGGCAGCGGCAAGAGGAGGTGTTTGTGGACAAGCTCTGCACCTTAGGGGCCTGGCACTTCACCTTTTGACCCGTTTTTGGTTACATGTAATCCGGTTGACACATAAAAAGCTTGCCCTAAGCCCTAAACCCTAAAAACCCTAAAAACCCTAAAAGCCCTCACAAAACAAAGCCTAAAAACCCTGCAACCGAACCTGGCCCCCTAAGGCATCAATGAGTGAGATAGGAAACTGAAGCTAAACCCTAAACCCCAAACCCTAAACCCTAAACCCTAAACCCTAAACCCCTCTAAGGCATCAATGAGTGGGATAGGCAGCTCAAGGCTGAAGGCATCCTCAACATTGGCGCCATACTCAAGAGTTCGGACTCAATGCTCGTTCTTTGGGACACTCAGCCAATTAGGGCTTAGGATTTGGGGTGTGGGGTTTAGGGTTTAGGGTTTAGGGTTTTAGGGTTTAGGGTTTTTAGGGGTACTCAGTTACCGCAACGGTTGAACTCTAGACATTTTGGGCTGCCTTTGGTCTTGGGAAAAACCGAAGTCTAACCTTTTTTCCCCCCTGTGGTTCTGGGAGAAGTAAGGACAAGACCTACCAAAAGCGCACCCAGACTCTTCAATTCGACGCATGTTTTTCCTGCTTCGGGGCCTTGTTGTACCTTAAACCCTAAACCCTAAACCCTAAACCCTAAACCCTGAGGCTTGTGGTGCTTGTTCGAGATCGCCGCCTTCTTACACAGCCGCCCCGATGGGCAGAAGCCGCACCTAGGACCCGATCTGGGCCCTTACGTCGTTTTTTTTGAGGCTTCCCTTACAATCCTCTTAAAATAAGCCAACAAAGTGGGTTTAGGGTTAAGGGGTTTAGGGTTGAGGGTTCAGGGTTCAGGGTTCAGGGTAACCCTAAACCCTAAACCCTAAACCCTAAACCCTAAACCCTAAACCCTAAACCCTAATTACGGTTTTAGTCCTAGGTTACTCCCCTGGGTCTAGGCACCTGGTCATTCGACCAACACTCCTGGGGCCCCTGGTGGCAGTTCTCAACCTCGGACTGACCCTTGGCCAGCAGTTGAACTTTAAACTTTGTGGGTTTAGGGTTTAGGGTTTAGGGTTTAGGGTTTTGGGTTTTGGGTTTAGGGTTTAGGGCTAGTTTAGTAGGAAGAATACAGTTTAAGCTTGTTTTCGCCCCTAGGCTCTTGGAGAAGTAAGGATCGTTGGCTCCGGAGCGGCCTACCTCTCCGCCTATGTGGCCGAGCCTTGGTAGCCCCGGTTTAGGGTTTAGGGTTTGGGGTTTAGGGTTTCGGGTTTAGGGCTTGGGGTTTAGGGTTTCGGGTTTAGGGTTTGGGGTTTAGGGTTTAGGGTTTCGGGTTTAGGGTTTATGGTTTAGAGTAATTGTTGTTGCTTTTTTGGGGTCCTGGGTTCCCTTGTAGCGTAACATAGGGTTTAGGGTTTAGGGTTTAGGTTTTGGGGAAGGGTGCCCTTGTTATAAGATGGCTGCTTGGCTACTAAGGATCTCACGTCCGAAGGATCTGGCCCGATTCTGCCATTTTGGGTGCTTTTCGGGCTCATCACGGTGCAGGTCCAGTTTGCTGTCGCCGATCTCGCCCGCCGGTATTGCAGAGAAGTCGAGGACCTGTCGCAGGACTACTACTTGCTTAAGAACCCCAAGAGCTTAGAGAGTAAACACATAAGAATCCCCCGATTACCCCTATCAGGAAGAATATTTAAACCCTAAACCCTAAACCCTTAACCCTTAACCCTTAACCCTAAACCCTAAACCCTAAACCCTAAACCCTCAGGTGTCCTTTTAGCAATTCGTAGAGGAGCTCCGGAGCTTCCGCCTCGATGATGCCAGGGCCTGGTGCTGCTCCGTCGGCCACGTCAATCCGGCCTCCGGTGGCTCCATCCCTTGTGACTTGCTGTTGGTAGGGTTTAGGGTTGAGGGTTTAGGGTTTAGGGTTTAGGGTTTAGGGTTTAGGGTTTAGAGTTTAGGGTTTAGTGTTTAGGGTTTAGGGTTTAGGGTTTAGGGTTTGGGGCTTGGGGTTTAGGGAATGAGGTATCCTAGATAATTCCTTTCAGGGTATATGTAGGGAAATATAGGGTACCTCATTCCCTCATTCCGTACTCACCAACAGCAAGGTGACCGCGCAGTGGTGGAAAGGTGCATCTGCAGTTGGTTCGGATGCGTGGATGAGTTCGAAACTCAGTCATAGTTGGGTAAAAATAAGGAACATAAATTTAAAATCCTATACCCTAAACCCCAAACCCTAAAACCTAAACCCTCAACCCTAAACCCTAAACCTAAACCCTAAACCCTAATTTTTAATATTATTCCAACCATGAGCTAGGAACGGACGGTGCGGACGGAGGTACTGAGCATCTTGGATAGCCAGCTTTCAACAGCTCTGACCTCCTACTGCCGCATCGTTGAAGCGTCCCCATGCATCCTCTGGGCATTTGCCGACTTTTCTGTTTCTTAGTAGCTGACTGAGGTGCACTTTACACTTTTTTGGGATAGTATAATCACCTACAGAACTGAAAGTGTACACTTTTTTGGGGCTTAGGAACTCAGCAACTAAGGTGTCACCCATGCTTGAAGGGAATGCCGACGCGGCCATGCGGCTGCTGTTGCGCGGCTTCGCCTACTGGCTAGGCGTCGTCCCGGCATTTCTCGCGGTACTCTATAGGATGGCGCACTGCTTGCGCCGGGCGAGAAGGTCCCTTATCTGAAAACCTTTTGTGGCTTTCCTTATTTACAGGAGGAATATGTGAAGTTTCAACTCTTTTTTCCCCTGAGTTCTTGGAGAAGTAAAAGGTCTTGGTGTCTGGACAAGCTGGTGTCGATGATGCTGGCTTGCTTCGGTGTTTGCCTCTTCGTGTGCACCGCGGTTGCGGAAGGGGCCCTTTTCGGCCTACTCCGGCCTTGGCTGCCTAGGGCAGCCTACGGAGCTATTTTCTGCTTTAGCAGCCTCACCTTGGCTGCTCTGCTCTGGAACAGGCCGCGCTGCTTCCCAAGGCGCCCTTTGTTCGGCGCCAGCGCGGCCACGCTTAGGGTTTAGGGTTTTAGGGTTTTAGGGTTTTAGGGTTTTAGGGTTTTAGGGTTTAGGGTTTTAGGGTTTTAGGGTTTTAGGGTTTTAGGGTTTTAGGGTTTTAGGGTTTTAGGGTTTTAGGGTTTTAGGGTCTGTGGTTGACACACAGACCCCCCCCATCATACCAACCTGGAGTTCTGGCAGATCCAAAAGGCCAACCTTCAGGGAGGCAGGCTTGAGGGTCTAGGGTTTAGGGTTTAGGGTTTAGGGTTTAGGGTTTAGGGTTTAGGGTTTAGGGTTTAGGGTTTAGGCTTTGGGGTTGATGGTTTTCTGACAGGTCCACAGAAGCCAACTTTTAAGGAGGTAGGGTTTGGGCTTTAGGGTTTAGGGTTTAGGGTTTAGGGTTTAGGGTTTCGTGTCTAAGGCTGGTGTCTGTATAGGGTTGAGGGCTCTACAAATGAGGGGCCCCCTAGTTATAAGTAGAGTTATAAGAACCCTGAATTGGGTTATAAGGATCCGAACTCAGGTTACAAGTCCCTTACCTATATTTTGTATACTAAGGGGGCCCCTCCTTGTAGGGCCTCCTTGTAGGGCTTCAGGGTTTCAGGCTCTAGTTTTGTTCTTTTGTTTCAGGCTGGGTTGGAGTTCCAAGTTTGTTTTCGGGTTTTGGGGTTCAAGACCAGCTGTGCCCTCATCAACAACCTTCCCTCCAGAAGGGTTTTAGGGTTCATGGCTGAGGGTTTAGGGTTTAGGGCTAGGGTTGAGGGTTTAGGGCTAGGGTTTAGGGTAGAGGGCTTAAGGTTTAGGGTTCAGGGCTTAGGGTTTAGGCGTGGCTTTGTGTCGAAGAGGCCTCCACCCACTTTGCGGATGGCGACGTGGCATCTGTGCTGGGTGACATCACGCCGGGCGCCTGAAACTTTGGGAACCCTAAACCCTAAACCCTAAACCCTAAACCCTAAACCCTAAACCCTAAACCCTAAACCCTAAACCCTAAACCCTAAACCCTAAACCCTAACCCTAAACCCTAAACCCTAAACCCTAAACCCTAAACCCTAAACCCTAAACCCTAAACCGGGGGAAGCCTAGGGTCTAAATGACTACCAAGACGACCCCCCACTGGTCTACAAGTTGCTTATCAGAACCGCCCCAAAGTAGCCCCGGGCGTCCGTGTATGCAAATAAGGCAAACATTGCAATGTATGCAAATTTTGCCAACGTCGCTCATGTATGCAAAATTTGCCAGCGCTCAATTAAGTCGATGGGATTTCACGGGATTCCTCCGTGATTCTGCGTGATTTCGTGTTGGGATCCCTATAAAATCTATACGGTGACGGAATTTCGCGTGATTTCGTGTGATTCTGCAACCTTCCAATTCCATGGAACCTAGCCTCGAACCTCTGTGTGCAAATTTTGCTAACGTTGCCCAGGAACGGGCCTCTGTAGACAAAAATTGCACACGTATTCAAATGTATGCAATATTTGCATGCTTTGGATGCCAAGGGTAGGCCCTTATTCCTTCTTTTAGGTTGAGGGTTGAGGGTTGAGGGTTTAGGGTTCGGGTTTAGGGTTTAAGATTTAGGGTTTAGGGTTTAGGGTTTAGGGTTTTGGGTTTAGGGCTACTATTCGCTTAAGAACCGCCCCCAAAAAAACAATGAACAAGATTCTTCCTTCTGCGGTAGATGCAAGGGTTGTTGTTTTTTTTCGGGGTTCTCAAACAAATAGTAGTTTGGGAGTACATGATCCCTAAAGTTTGTCCGTTGCCCCCGTCAGAGGGCTCTAAAGTATGGGCCCTTGGGTTGTACGGGCTACGTAAGGGGTATATAAGGGGTCTTCTTAAGGGCCAATACTAAGGGACCATGTAACTACCCTAAGAAGAGTTTAGGGTTTAGGGTTTAGGGCTCAGGGAAGTTTCAAAGACCTCCTTCAGGCCCTGGAATTTCCGTCAGGGAAGAGGGGCAGTAGTAGGTGATCTACTAGGACCCGGAGATACCCAAGGGCAGGCGCTGATTCCCTTTTTGTAAAGGGCTGCGGTTCCCTTGAACCAAAAAGGGTGTCCCTTTCCTAGGTTGCTCTTGGATGTAGCCAGGGAATCCCTGAGCGCTTCGGTTCCCTAAACCCTAAACCCGAAACCCACCCCAAACCCGAACCCGAGTCCCTGAACCCTAAACTGCAGGTTTCGGGTTTAGGGTTTAGGGCTTAGGGTTCAGCTTTTTCTAGTCAAGCAATGATCGGGCTTTGGCAAAATACCCACCCGATACTATCCTTGTTTATATCAAAGATCATAGCGCATAAAAACCCAAAACCCCTTAAGCCCTAAACCCCAAACCCGTAACCCCTAAACCCTAAACCCCACGTCACGGGCTCTGTTTACAAAGAGCTTGAGAAACCGAGCTGTTCGAGATTTTCTGGGAGTAGGGTTTACGGTTCAGGCTTCATGGTTAGGGTTTAGGGTTTAGGGTTTTAGGGTTTAGGGTTTAGGGTTTAGGGTTTAGGGTTTAGGGTTTAGGGTTTAGGGTTTAGGGTTTAGAGTTCTGGTCCCGACTTCTTCCGCGGGTTCTTCACAGGTCGCCGCAGCGTACCAAACCTCGGTTTTCCCCGGCTTCCCCCTTTCTTCGCGGCAAAAGGGCCCTCTTTGCAACAAGCAGGTGGCTTGCGAGGTTTAGGGTTTAGGGTTTAGGGTTTAGGGTTTAGGGTTTAGGGTTTAGGGTTTAGGGTTTAGGGTTTAGGGTTTAGGGTTTAGGGTTTAGGGTTTAGGGTTTAGGGTTTAGGGTGTAGAGCTTGTGGCTTAGGGCTTGGGCTTGGGGCTTAGGGCTTAGGCATTGCTGTCTTTGCCAACATAAGAGTGCGTTGGGGCGCCATTGCGTTTGCAGATGGAACTTGCCGCCACTGCAAGGTGAGAAGGCCTAGCAATACACCTAAACCCTAAATCCCAAACCCGGCCAAACCCCAAACCCCAAACCTGCCCCTAAACCCTAAACCCTAAACCCTAAACCCTAAACCCTAAACCCTACACCCCAAACCCTAAACCCTAAACCCTAAACCCCCCAACGGAGGCCGGACCCCTACCCCGAGCGGCCGCCACGGCCGCCGCGCTCGCCGGACGCGCCTCTGGGCTTGAGAATTTTCAGGGTTTAGGGTTTAGGGTTTAGGGTTTAGGGTTTAGGGTTTAGGGTTTAGGGTTTAGGGTTTAGGGTTTAGGTTTGGGGTTCCAATAAACCCTAAACCCTAAACTGCTTTTGCCAGGAGAATCCCTTGAATCATGCCAAGCCCGAACGATGCATGGGGGTGAGGAGGGGCGGCACGAGAGCCGACAGCAGCTGCGACCGCTTAAGTCATGTGGCTGGGCCATGTTGGCGCTATAGCCTAAACCCTAAACCCTTAGAGCCTAAGACCCTGAATCCCTCGGGATGCGGATCAAAGAAGAATTTATTTAGGATCAAGAAAAAATTTTTTTAGGATCAAGAAAAACTTAATTTAGAATCAAAAAATAATTTATTCGGTTCTTCCGCTGGAGAGAGGGAACCGGAGGGAGGGAGGGAGAAAAGGAGGGAGGGAGGGAGGGAGAGAAGAAAGGGCGGAAGGACGAAAGGAAGGAAGGAAGGCAGGAAGGAAGGAAGCAAGCAAGGAAGCAAGGAAGCAAGGAAGCAAGGAAGCAAGGAAGCAAGGAAGCAAGGAAGCAAGGAAGCAAGGAAGCAAGGAAGCAAAGAAGCAAGGAAGCAAAGAAGCAAGGAAGGAAGGAAGGAAGGAAGGAAGGAAGGAAGGAAAGAAGGAAGGAATAAATCAAGAAATCAAGAAAGAAAGCAAGAAAGAAAGCACAATGAAAGAAAAAACAAAAAAAGAAGCAAGGAAGAAGTCGTGCCAGCTTGCTTCAAAGCATACGCATCTTTTCGAAACCCATTATGCGAGCATTGTGTTTGCAAATGGGGAGCAGGGCCCACCCCAACAACCCCCCGCTTCATTGAAGTCGTGCCAGCTTGCTTCAAAGTATACGCGTCTTTCGACGCCTCTGATGCGAGCCTGCACCCCCCTAATCCCCGTTCTATTTTAAGTCGTGCCAGGTGCTTCAGCATACTTTCGAAAACCATGATGCGAGAATTCTGTTTGGGCATGGGGGGGGGGGCGTGCCCCCCCCCAACCCCCGGCCCTTTTTCAAATCGTTCTGGCTTGCTTCAGAGTATACGCATTTTTTGAAACTCCTGATGCCAAGATGCCAACATTGATTTGCAGCCTCTGGAAACACAGAAATGCTGCTATTTACAGTATGTCCAGCCTCTGAAAGCGCAGAAATGCTGCTATTTACAGTATTTGCAGCCTCTGGAAACTCAGAAATGCTGCAGTGTACAGTATGTCCAGCCTCTGAAAGCGCAGAACTGCTGCTATATACAGTATCTGCAGCCTCTTTGGAAACTCAGAAATGCTGCTACTTTCAGTAGTTCCCACATGAATGCTTTTTTTTCGGTATTTAGAGCTTGCGAACGGCCAGAAATGCGGCATTTCTGAGCGTTTACAGCCTCCGCTCCGCTTGCAACAAGCCTTCGAAGCCTTCAGTAAATTATTTTTTGATCCCAAATAAGTTTTTTTTATCCGCCTAGAAATACATTATTTTTGATCCCAAATAAATGTTTTTTTGATCCCCTACCCGAATCCCTCAAGCCCTAAACTCTACAACAAGACCCAGAACCCAAAAACCCCAAAACCCTAAACTCTACAATAAGACCCTAAGACCCCCCAAAACCCTGCAAGCCCCAAAAGCCCTAAACCCTAAACCCTAAACCCCAAACCCCAAGAAGCCTAAAACCCTTAAGACGCGAAACCCGAGGCCCGTTCCCGTGACCATCTTCACTGGCTTCCTCGGCGCCGGAAAGACCACGGCCGGGAGCCCTCAGGTCTTCCTTAGAGGGTTTAGGGTTTCGGGTTTAGGGTTTGGGGTTTGGGGTTTAGGGTTTGGGGTTTAGGGTTTGGGGTTTAGGGTTTAGGGTTTAGGGTTTGGGGTTTAGGGTTTGGGGTTTGGGGTTTGGGGTTTGGGGTTTA